CAAGTATGCAGCAAAAGGATATGTGTCAATATTGACAGATATCGACCAATACTTCCGCAGCGCAACTTCCATAATACTCTTATAACAATTTGAATCTGGATGAGAAGCTACGAACAACTGGCCAAAATACAGGCCAAATCTATCTTATTTGGGCCCAGCAATGCATATACTCATTCGAGCAGCGCGGAGCTCATCTCAAGCCATGTTTGTTTGAGCCATAGGATCACTTTTGACATATTTAAAAATGGCTACGCATATTAAGTAGGGTAACGCTCATTCCGGAACATTCCGCTCTCCTGGCTGGAATCCTGCCCTGCAACTCACCATTGATGCACATCGTTCGGACGACGGTTACTCACTTGGAACGACAACCCCAAACACCGATCAGCTATGGTATCGATCTACCAACAGTTCCCTTTCCCTGCTGTCGAACCTCAGACCCCTGTTTGGCACGTTAGGGAGCAATATGCTCCACAACTGAGAGGATCTTCTTCTCAACTGCGAATGATCTCAAGAACTTAATCTTCTCAATATTTTCCGGACACTTTACTATATACTTGCACTTTTTGATCATTTTACAATATAGCATCTTTACATTTACAAGTAGTTATTAGCATATGAACGGCATGCTTACCGATTATGCTGCTTTCCTACCACCTTGGTTACTTCAGTTCAATCACTATTTTTTATATATTAAGGCAGTTCATTATAAAGAATTAACGTTTGGTTCAGTCGCCCAATATATTTGGTAATAGGAGGTCATACGCAAGGTATCGCGCTCCATGGTACAGTTTTGAACAGCATATTGAAGTCTCATGTAGGTCCCTTTTTATGTTTCACCTAACACGCCTAGAATGGTTATTGGAGTTTTTTATTCGCTTATGTAATATGTTTTCCCATTTCTTCCCCTGTTAATTTCTAACCAGTACCTCTCAAGTTCTCTTATTTGGCTTTCCATGTGTCTAACACTTCAAGTCTTTCAACCTATTGTCTTTCTTTCTGAATATTACTAGTCACTTTCTCAATTCTTCCCCACTTCACCCTGGTCGTTCATCTACTCAAGTCATCACTCCTTTGAATGATGAATATGAATGACGCTTTTGTTCAACAATGAGGACTTTAGTGCGAAGAAGAATGGGTAGCCGACCTCAAAGATAGGATGGGGAATGGGTTCAGTACCAGATTGACTCACAAACCCTTTTCTTCTTTAGCTCAGGTCAAAGCACTCTACGATCTTGGCTAAGATACGTTTTTGAGCACAATTATGGAATGACCTCCTCATCTTTAGCGCTTAATGTTGGAAGAAAATCGGAAGTCGCTCAACCACATTATCACCTCCGATTTTTGTGTAGACATACATAGCACGATTTCGGCATAGATCGAAAACTTCGCAGTACCCACGTCACTCCGCAGAACTCACTCTACTACATTAAACCATCCACCAAGTTACTGCTTTGAATACAAGAAGGAAATGTGAGCTGGCGTTTCCATATCATTACCTTTATCGTAACCCTAAAGTCTTGTGGATGGAGAGATCGACAAACCGACAAACCGACAAACCGTCACAACAAGTAACTGCTTTATAAATATGAGAGATTTGAATGTTTTAGTATTTCTTCAAATTTAAGTATACTACTAACCATGACTCACATCATTTTTTAGTGAATATCTCATCATCAACTCAAATATATTGTCTGTTGTTCACTAACCCCAACTCACTGACGAGCCTCAACGAAGTGGTTCGTCTGGGCAGAGGCGAAAGGAATCATTAGTACCTTCATTGATAATCAATTTGTATAACACTATTTTTGGTATGTTTATCCAATCGGAACTTTTGCCTGACTGACGTCGCTGCTGTTCCGAAGTTCAGTACAGGATCAAAGCACCCTCTCCTCCGCGCTAGATTCTGCTTTTCGGTGCGCGGAGAGAGCTGCGAAGTTCAGGAGACAAAGCCTTCCGAGTAAGTGGGAAGACTCCGTTAGCGACAACATTGATGAAGAATACGACCGGCTCGTCGAACACCTTCACGATAGCGCCAGAAATACAGGGAGTCTCAAAGATGCCAAAAGGCGTATCTCTTTGAAGACTTTCGAGCTGGTACGACAGCGTGAAATTGCACGAGCTGCAGGCAATAAAGATCTAACGTCCGAACTTGCGAAGGTATGCAGAGAAGCGATAAAGTAGGGTCTGAAAAAGAGAAGAGCAGCAGTATTGACTGAAGCCGCCGCTGAGGCTGGAAAGAGCGTTCGCAAAGTCCGCCGGAGCTTGGTCAATGATAAGATCAAGATGACTCCCCTTGGTCGTCCTGACGGAACTGTTACTGCATCTCGAAGTGCAATGGAGAAGGTCATGTACGACTTCTACTCTGATCTCTTCGACAACCATGTCTACCTGCCCACCTACCGTCTTAGGCAAGACTGCCACGTCGTCCCTTCATTTCTCCCTTCCGAAATTCGACATGCCATTATGTTGTCGAGAAATAGCACGGCGCCGGGTCCCGACAGGATCAAAGCAGAGCTCCAAAAAGCCTTGCGCTAATCATTGTCAAAACTCTGGCTCAGTTTTTCACGCGGTACTTACGGGATACAAAGTGATTTCGTCAACTATCGCCCAATCCGCCAGCTACCTGTAGTCTGCAACCTTTTCACACGCATCATTCTGAGCAGGGACTGACAGAATATTAGACGGAGGACAGTGTTACGAGCAAGAAGGGTTTCAGAGAGAGTTCAGCATAAACGATCACATCCACACCGTTACAAGACTCACTGGAGTATCGCAAGAGCACAAAATGCCATTTTGTTCTACGATCATTGATTCGAAGAAAGCCCGCATTGCTGTCGAAAAGGAGGGGTGATCGAAGTCCTGGGCAACAAGGGTGTTCCTACTCAATATATAAGGATGCTTTGTGGGCTCTACGATAACTCCAGGACCTACATCTCGTCATTCTATTGAGAAGCCATCATCAACGTGAAAAGAGTGATTTGACATGGCGATACAATCTCGCGCAAATTATCAGTGTCGCTCTCGAGAACATCATGCATCACATGGAATGGGAAGGTGTGGGAGTGGAGACCGACGGCCTCTACTTAAATTATCCCCGCTTTGCGAATGACATTGTGCGTAGAACACCGAACATCGAGCATGCAAAGTAAATGCTATCCGAACTCGACAACGCTTGTGGAATAATGGGATCATGACTGAATCTGACGAGGACGATGTTCATGCGGAACGGATTGCTACCTGATGTTCCTTCCACGCTGAATGGAACGAACATCTTTGAACGCTTAACCTATGTGTATCTGGGTCGCGAAGTTAATATGATGAATGACCTAGTACGGAGCTGAGCAGAAGGAAACGGGCGGCGTAAGAAGCACTTATGAAAATCGATGAAGAAGGTGAAAAACATCCGGCTTCCCGCTCACTAATTAGACACGACATTCCCTCCTGCTTTGACATACGCCTCAGAGACTTGGAATCTACGAAATCAGGATGAGCATGCAGTTAAGGTCAGTCAACGCGGTGTGGAAAGTACGATGCTCAGGATTTCGCTGTACACACAAGTGCAGAGGGAGGTCTGGTGTTCTGAGCTCTGTCAACGAACGAAGATCAGGTATACTGATTTTTACGCAAAGAAATCGAAGATTAGATGGGCTGGTATCGGTGGCATGCGATACGACAGTAGGACCGGTGCAGTTACTGACTGGATCCCTCGCGACGTCAAACGAATACGAGGATGGCCGCCATTGTGATGGTCAGACTTCATATCCTAAACCATTGGCGACAAATTGACGCGCATGCGTGTCAACCTTTTGTCACATTTGTTCTCCACGAGTACGCGACTTTCCCAAGATTCTTGTTTATGACATAGAAAAAACTTTATGGCTCCTGTAAACAACGTGGTCCATCGAACGGGTGAGTATGCTTCGGTTTAGCGAAGGTTTTCTAAACATTGTAGAACTTCCAGTTGAAACCGCACTTTGGCTTTTAGTTGAAAACAGAAGAACAAACAATAGAAGAACCAACATGTAAGCAATAACAAGGAAACATCTTTCCGAGAAATTACTCTTCTAATTTTTTTACTCCTTTTGCTAATTACTCTTTTTGTAATTGGTTCGCCGCACGCGGCTGTCCCGGACCATTCGTTCGCCGTTATTACAGCTCCAGCGTTCTTCATGTAGCTCAATCGATGTGCGATCCTTATTTCAAACATGATCCCACTGATAGTACCTTTGTTCCTGTAATCCATACCTGCTGCTGCGTTCTGCTATATTCCTTCGCGCGCGGCGTCCCTCTCGCCGCGACACGACAATTTCCTACTGCATCCACCCGTGTCATGTTGGTCGGGCGCGCCAAAACGCCCATGTGCCAAGTGGCGAAAAAACGCGCGCTGCCGTCGAAGGATTAACAAGAGTAATGCTTTGCCACTTTTTTCTCGAGCGAGGACGGCCCACTGGACTAATCTGGCTCGCTACAGCGATGAATGGAGACCTTAGTGGCGCCCGCTCGAGGAAATCTATGATCAACGAGACAAAAAGCGGCAGGCGATGATACATATCTACAGTAGCGGGCAAAAGTCTCCGGTGAACGCTTTCTCTTTTTTCTTTCTAGTGAAGGGACTTGAGGGAAATTTTAACATGTCAACCCCAAATCGGACAGATCTATTCCATTCTTTTTGGCTAAAAAACAGGGAGATCACGTGACTACATGTGAAGGTTCTACTGCTGAAGCTATTTTCCTGATTACGGGGTAAGCATCATCTACATTTTTGCATCCCTTTTGTGCTCGACGTAAGTGTAAGTGCTTGTACACTCAAGGCATGTATAGAAGAAGAGAAGTCACTCAGGCAGTCCGGCAGGCAGCAGTAGACATGAAGGAACTGAGCTTGAAAGTTGCGTCCATTTCAAGAATTTCGAAGCTCCCACAGCAGACGGCTTCTTCGACTATCCCATGCTATCTGGTCAGGAGCTCTGTTTGCAAGCTGCGAGAACCGAAAGCTCCCGATGCACTTCATCAGCCCAGCTGGAAAGGACGATGATCGGGATTTCGCTATACACGTAAGTGCAGATGGGAATCCGGCGTTCCGAGCTCCGCCGAGCTACGAACGGAGACCAGGGATGTCGTTGGTTACGCCAAGAAAACGAAAATCAGATGGGCTGGGCACGTCATGCGATATAGTGATGATCGTCGGACCAGAGCGGTTAGGAGTGGATCCTTCGGGACGACGGAACGAAACGAACACCAGGACGGCCGGCGTCCCATGGTCAGACTTCTCCACGAATCCCCTGAACGAAAGAAGTGTTTTGCCCCGTGTCCCTCAAGCGAGAATGATTCACTAGACTACATTGAACAGCGACGAATAGAGACGTTACTGGCGCCGGTCGAGGAAACTGATCATCAACGGGACGACAGGTGACGTGCAGGTGACATATATGTGTATATATATAGTATGTCGTTAGGTTGAATAATTGCTGCGGATTTTTTCGCGGCTTATTTTTCTCTCGATTCAACTTGAACATTGAGTTTGGGTTTTTTATAGAAATGATCTCCATGACTTCCTATACGAAAATGTGTGTTGAAAGCCATCCGCATATTCGCAAAATTATGCTCTACTACTTCGAGAAAGGTTGGAAGCGGCCGGGTCATTCCGCGACCTCAAAAACCTCTCGGCGATTGAACAATCAGCCAAAGCCAACCAAGAAATGGGGTCTGCCTCTGAATCTACCATACTCACCGGCAGAAACTTTTATGGATTATCACGTCAGCCGTTCGTTGAAAAACTGGCTAGGGAATAGAAGCTACGACGATTTGGATGACTTGATGGCTGATGTCAAAGCGTGGATCGCCTCCAAGGACCAAAACCTCTTCGCCTTTGAAATCCAGCAATCAAGCCAATGGGAAGCAATGCACGAAGTGGATGGTGGATAAGTTCCGGACTAATTATTTGAGCATGATTTGTTCAGTATTTCTAACATTCCCTCAAATAAAATTTGTGGCAAAAAATCTTCAATAATTATGCATCAACCTAATATATAACTATATATAGATAGTACAGTAGATAGGTGTATACTATGTATATAAGTGCAAGATGCACTTAATCAACACGAATATCATAGGCCAGAAATATCTTTGTCCACTACTAGATTGTGGACCCGCTTATTGTTGGTCCGTTTGACGCTTACCATTCGAGGGTGTAGGTGAATCTAGCATTCGTTGCTCAGGAATCTAATACTCCTAAACGACGAGCATCTGAGAGGGAATTGCAGCCATAGGCTACGATAGTTTGACGGTAACCACGAACGAAGCAATAAAATCATCTCAGATCCAATGGAATACTGTTCTTATCTAATCGCGTTCCAGTTTAAAAGGAGCACTTTAATCTTACAGACTTCAATCTTAATTACAATGAACACACCTTGATTGAGTTATCCATAAAATTTGAATTTCGTACGTGTTAGCTCACTATCTTATAGGAAAAAATAGTGTTCCATAATATTTCAAAACCGTTCAAAATTACAGTATATCTAAATGCTAGCGCAAGCTCTATGAAGGATAGTCCATCAGTCTCTTTCGCTGCACAAGCCAGATTTGCTGATTTCATCCTTCATTTCAATCAATTTCTGTACAAGATATATGGTTTCAAAACATTGGCTAAACGGCTTGAACCAACACTAACACAAGGTGTTGCTGAAGATCGAATAATGGCAGCAAAAAACAACCAAGTATACGAGGTGCATTTCATCAACGAAAAATTATTCCAGAAATATTATTCCGAGAACTACAAGCGATGCGGATGTGAAAGTACCTACAATGCCCTGTAATCGCGTTGAATATGGTCGAGTTTTTCTACTTAGTCCGAACAGATAAAAATATTTTCGATGGGAATACTACTTACTCTGTGAGAGGAAAGCAAGATTGAGGAATCATGTTCTCCACTAGCACATACTGTGTGGAGGTATCGACCAATTTTTCAGTCCATGATAGCCGACCATGGCTTCGAGAACGACCTCGACGATGAGAAGTTTCCTTCAAAAGGGGAGATGAAGCTCAACAATGTTGTTTTTATTCTTAAAACTAATCAAGAACCGTATTAGAACAAGGAGCTCTATTTGAAGAAACGGAACCATCAAAAAGAGTGAAAATGAGCATCCTTTGACATACTGGGGGAACTTCAGGGGCATTTATTATGTTCTGGATATTACAATCACTTACGTGCCTTACTGAAGCATATCCCTTTCCCGTTCCTTCGAAAAAGTAATGAATAGGCCATTTCTAGCACATACGAATTGATCCAAATAAGTTGACCACACACCTTTTCATCTCACGCGCTGTTTGAACACTTTATGGTTGAATTCTTGTTTCAAAGGGAACGAAGCTGACCTGGTCAACCACATATCGAATGATAATTAATTTCAATCCTGCAACACGCTCCCATACACGATCGATCTACGCTGAAAGTGGCTCAGCTAACCAGGAAAGGATACCAAGTCGCAGTGGCCATTTAAGATAAGA